CACATGGGTACAATGAGTGAAGCCCATTTCTGGTGTCCCCCCGCCGTGATATTGCTGGAATATTGCTCAAAGCGGCGTAAAACCAAACTCAGTCAGTCAGTCAGTGTTAGATATCTGAACGAATTACAAATTGTGATCCCACCAAATACATAAATTCAACTGGAATGAATACTGAAATAAACTTTCAATAATGAAATGTGATCTATTCGTTTATTATAAAAGTCAGTGTAGCTAACTTTACTTCAAACACCTTCAAGTCACGAATAACCTATACTGTATATAAGTCACCTTGAAAGGTTGGGAGAAAGACAGCAAGTGAACATCTTTCAAATGTTTCTTATGCGCCTAATTTTAACATCGAATTAAAATGTTGATGTTCAACCAATGAAACTCAAGGACCAGACTATAGACCTGGCCTCATTCAAATCTGGCTGCGTTGCGTAAGAACTGCTTTTGACCCATGTCCCAATTTTGAAAGTGACTTTAGATGGATTATGGCTTGTAAGGAAATTTCCCCTTTCACTGACAACGGTATTAATGAAGGATGCCTATTTTTATGGATATACAACTTCTTTATTCTGTATAGGCGACGTTTCGACATAGATTCTAAGGTCGTTGTCAAGCAACGTTTGAGGTGTTATGAATCAATTACAAACAAGAAACTAAGACAAGGCATACTAAAGTAACTCAATACTAGAACTATTAACTACATATATGTAGACTTCAACTACGCTTTCCATTTTAATAACAGAAGCCTACTTTGGTATTCAATAATGTATAAAGGTCGGCAACTTATTTTCGGTATTGAGAAAAGTGTATTTAAAGATAAAATCATCTGTACGAATATTGAAAACTGCCATAACGAAGAACTATCATAGTTGAAGTTGTGTTAGACAAGGGTATATGATTAGTCTATGCTTATTTGCTGTGTGAGAACGCATTCTTCAGAGCTATATGTTTATGTGCAGCCTGTTTAGAACGGCTAATTAGTATTCAAAGATTTGTGCTAACACTGTTTGCAGACAAGACCCGATATGTTTTTAAATAAGTTGCCATGGAATGTGTGTACATAAAGAGTTGTTTTAAAAGCTGTTCGCACACAAGACTAGAAGATTGTGGAAAGCATAATATATTTAGCACTATCTCGATATTACTCAAGGTGTGTGCATTATCAGAACATTAAGAAACTGTTGTCTATTGAATATGTAACAAACGTCAATATAAGTGAATTAACAAAATATGTCTGTTTGCTGAGAACGTTGTAATGCTAGATGTACATATTAAGAGTGAGCGAGTTTAGTTTTACGCCGCACTCAGCAATATTCCAGATATATGGCGGCGGTATGTAAATAATCGAGACTGTACTAGACAATCCAGTGATCAACAGCATGAGCATCGATCTGCGCAATTGGGAACCGATGGCATGTGTCCTCCAAGTCAGCGAGCCTGACCACCCCATCCCGTTAGTCGTCTTTTACGACAAGCATGGGTTGCTGAAGATCAATTCTAACCCGGACCTCCACGGGTCATTAAATCAACGAATTACTGGCATCAAGTGATGTATCGGTTCTGATCAAATGTGCGAAGTGTGTGGAAAATACTTTAAAATCTGCTTGCGTTGCATCATCAAATCACCATCTATACCTTCTTCATACATTGTTACACACACGTACATGGATTTGACAAAAGGAAAATATCTACGCGACTGGTTGTTTATCCTTAAAGGTTTTTCATTGTCGAGAAATCATTGTATTTGTGTGACATGTTTCATTACAGTTTCAATTATATATCTAATCTTAGGACAAATACCTCTTAAAGTATCTTCTTTTGGTTGTCAGGGCCTCCCTATAGTGCTTGTATTTACAAACAATTCTAAACATTTCACACAGTTTTGGCAGATTCGCGAAATACTGAATACCAATAAACGCCTACATTTAACAGTGATGGCATAAATTCGATGGTCGAGTCAGTAGCACATAACAGCAGCGAATGTAGTTGTATTTCAACAGGTATTTGGAAGCCCGGAGCCTTGAAAATATTAAACACCGATAATATCAATGTAGGAATAACGATACCCAGACGCGCATTGGCTTGCGCCGTAAAAGTAACGTATGTTATATTTGGGATTACACTTTCTTAGTAAAGTACAGATTCTAGTACTTTACGTTACATTTGACCACTTTCTAAAATGGCATTGTGTATTTCATAGCCGTAAAATTAGTCCGCAATTTCGTTTCATTGATCCCATGAATATTATTGAAAGTCAAATTTAGCAGTTGGTGACAAATGTAAACTAGTGTTATGAGATTATTTAGATGTCACATTGAATAACTTTTCAGTATTATGGGTCGCAATAGTTTAAAGCGCTGGGTGTAATTTGAACTCGCATCTTGCTTAGGCTATGTAATTCCGCCTGTTGAGAGTGGGCCGAGGAGCTGCGCTCTGGAGTTACCTCCTCTTTGTAATGCTCCCGGTTCGCTGCTTCCTGTGTAAGACTGCGGCACTCATTCGAATGAGTTCTACGTGATTGTAGTGTGATCTAAATGGCCGTAGTGAGGCGTAGCTACTGCTAGAATTCTTAGGAACTGTGTGATAAGTATATTATGATTGGTTGCTGTGATGTTCGACACGACTTTGAGGATTTGGGATTTACGCTCATCTGTCTGCTAACATCGTCCGCTCACCTCGTCTCAACTCAATCTCCAATCTTGACAAATATCATCGGTTCCCAATAGCGCAGATCGATGCTCATGCTGTTGATCACTGGATTGTCTGGTCCAGACTCGATTATTTACAGACTGCCGCCACATAGCTTGAATATTGCTGAGTGCGGCGTAAAACTAAACTCACTCGCTCACTGAACGGAGCAATGAAGTTAAGGAAGTAGGTATTCCACATATCGAAGTCTAACATCACCTTCATGGATATCATGATCCTTCCACGTGTGAGAACGAGACCAACTTGTTAGACAAGGTGAAGGACAATTTATCATTTTCAGTTTTGCACTTTCGTAATTTTCGGCTTATATTTTCATCTTGCATATATTACTCTTTCATCCAAGAGTGAACTATTTAAAAAAATATCTGTGTAATGAACGAATCCATAGTGTCATATGTGACATTTCAGTAAAAGTAATACAATATTTAAAAATACTGAAGTTTCGTGTGAGTCACACACAGATATAAACATCAAGGGAGACAAAACAGTCTCTGTCGTTAGTCCAACATAAAACAGCATATTGTGTCTGGCTGACGACAAGAGGTTTTGAAAATGTTCCAATATTATTCGCCTACGGTTTTGTGTGCTGGTACTGTAGCTTTGTTCTTGAGTGGACTGAGTTTGATGGTGGGCACGGTCCTACCTGTGTCTATTCACAACAGTGCACGTAAATTTTCATCATTATCCTAATGACTTCTTTGAGTGGCAATTTTGAAGTTGCTTGACGACGGTATAAGTATCTGTATCGAACACTTTAACCACTAGGCTACCCAACCACCCCTTATTAACATTAGATCATTATTTCATGTCAATAGGAACAATTTGTTTAGGGCTTGTTTTGTAGATAAATTGTAATGCAATATTTTGCAATTCTGATACCCGTATTCCGATACGTATTGCGGTAATTTGGCATCTTCAGTGTTTGACAGTGAGTGACGCTGATTGTACATGCAGAGCCTATTTTCTACATACTAACACACAACCTTTTCACAACGTTGTGTGAAGGATGTTTATTGGTAACGGCATGACACAACATTGTCACAACGTTAGTATTACGTCATTGTATAACGTCATGTCACAACGTTAGTATTACGTCATTGTATAACGTTATGTCACAACGTTAGTATTACGTCATTGTATAACGTCATGTCACAACGTTAGTATTACGTCATTGTATAACGTCATGTCACAACGTTAGTATTACGTCATTGTATAACGTTATGTCACAACGTTAGTATTACGTCATTGTATAACGTCATGTCACAACGTTAGTATTACGTCATTGTATAACGTCATGTCACAACGTTAGTATTACGTCATTGTATTACGTCATGTCACAACGTTAGTATTACGTCATTGTATTACGTCATGTCACAACGTTAGTATTAGGTCATTGTATAACGTCATGTCACAACGTTAGTATTACGTCATTGTATAACGTCATGTCACAACGTTAGTATTACGTCATTGTATTACGTCATGTCACAACGTTAGTATTACGTCATTGTATTACGTCATGTCACAACGTTAGTATTACGTCATTGAATAACGTCATGTCACAACGTTAGTATTACGTCATTGTATAACGTCATGTCACAACGTTAGTATTACGTCATTGTATTACGTCAAGTCACAACGTTAGTATTACGTCATTGTATAACGTTATGTCACAACGTTAGTATTACGTCATTGTATAACGTCATGTCACAAGGTTAGTATTTGGGGCGGTGGGGTAGCCTAAGGGTTAAAGCGTTGGCTCGTCACGCCGAAGACCCGGGTTCGAATCCCCACATGGGTACAATGTGTGAAGCCCATTTCTGGTGTTCCCCGCCGTGATGTTGCTGGAATATTGCTAAAAGCGGCGTAAAACCAAACTCAGTCAGTCAGTAGTATTTGGTCATTGTATAATGTTATGTCACAACGTAATAACAACGTTGCAAATTTGCGTTGAGGAAATGTATGCTTTGGCCTCATGACACCGCTATACAAACGTTTCTTATAACTTAGTGTCACAACAGTTTTCTGTAAGACTTTTCACTTTGAGATTTTTTCTTCACTATTATGTAACAGCTTAAGAACACACACGACCAAAACAACATTATTCGCAAGTTGGCGAATTAACAGTGAAGTGAATATCTGCTCTGTTTCCTATGTACTGTTCACGTCTGGATAAACTGTTCAGAGAGAGTGAGAGAGTCAAAGAGTGAGAGAATGAGTTTAGTTTTACGCAACACTCAGCAATATTCCAGCTATATAGCGTCAGTCTGTAAATATTTGAGTCTCTACCAGACAATCCAGTGATCAGCAGCATGAGTATCGATCTACGCGATTGGGATACGATGACATGTGTCAACCAAATTAGCGATCCTGACCACCCGATCCCGTTAGCCGCCTCTTACGCCAAGCAATGGTTACTGCAGATCAATCCTAACCCGGATCTTCACGGGTCAGAGAGCCTCAGTCAAAATTAACCTAAACCTCACAGATGACCTATCCAATGTGTTGACATATGATGCATAGAGTCATATCTACCCACATGCAGCAGTATTTATTTCATCGTGTTTCAAGTGAAGCTCCTATATTGTATTTCTTTAAACCCAACTGTCTTCGTATGTGTTCCGTACGATTTAACCCAGCTAACGTAAGCATCACAGATGTCTCATGAATTGTATTTAAAACCTTGAAATAGCATTATATCTCAGGCATAAAGTCAATCAAAGCGTCGTAATTTAAAAAAAGTGAAACCTCTTTCCTATATTCTGACACCCAAATCACCCGTGTTCGTTCCGACTCGACCCCAACTATCACACGCAATGTAAATGTCAGATTTGTGTCAGAATTGAGATTAAGTCCATAGACAAGTGTCATATCTGCCTAAATGCCACATTGTCACGTTACAATACATGACAAGGGTTTAGCTTATGTTTGGTCCGACATAGCCCTGGCTGTCAAAAGCAACTTGGAACCAGAATTGTGCCTAAATCTACAGAATAGTAATTTTTTTATCTCTACCTAAATACCATTTACAGCGTCTCAAAGCGTCGTATTTGAAGCAAACGCGGTGCTCAAAGTGAAGCCTAGTGTGCAGACAGACTTGGCCAAATACACCTGTATCTAGCTTGTTTAATTGTCCCTTGTAACGCTGCAGTCCCAGATACGACCACATATCTCCAGTGTTACAAGAATCCATTGGCTTCCTATCAAGCACAGGATCAACTTGCCTGGCTCATCAATGTTTGACCGACTCAGCTCCTGTCTACCTCTCAGAACTAATACGACCTTATTGTCCATCTAGATCACTTCGATCAGAAAACCAGGACCTCTTTGGCAGTACCCAAAGTCAAGCTCACACGGTTTGGACAACGCTCCTTCTCTTATGCTGCTGCTAAAGAGTGGAATGATCTGCCTCACCACATCCGTTCCTGCTCTGTTTATCCCGGATTCAGAAGTCTCCTGAAAACTCATCTTTTCCAACAAGCTTTCTCATCTTTTCCAACAAGCTTTCTGTTGACTCTATTGACATTTTGTGCGTCTTGAGCAGGATATATTTAGCCTGGAAAGGCGCTATACAAATGCTCTATTATTATATATATAATCAAGTAGGCCTTGTGTTTTAATCAACACACCCAAATACGACCAACTCGCCGCAACTACCTGTAAGGGGCTTTCAGTGGTATTGAATAGGCTACCGGTTCACTGATAACTTGTTTCACGTTGACTTGTCTTCTTTGCGTGGCATTTTAGAAGTAAGAAAGTACAACACCTTGATATTCCTGCACCATTGTCAAGCAGGAATGTAATACGAGTTCAAGTTCTATATTTCTAGGCCAAAGGCCCAAACAAATCCAATGTTTCAAATTCACAATTGTGGGTGGTTGGTGGGTTCACATAATTATTTCAATAGCATAAGCACATTAAAAGTTGACTCAAGAAGTTACATTTTGTTTATATACACTCATGATGTGTACATATTTTGATAAACTTAAAATAACATTTTGGCATGGATTATTCATCAGCTGGACATATTTCACCATAATAATAGGCTGATAAATAATGTTTACGATATTTGACAAAGAGTGGGCATACTACCGGGAATCCTCGTATTTGAACTTTCAAAGAAACGAATCTTATTCCGTGAACAAAGTATATAATCTTTTCAACATAACTGTTATAATTTGAGAGAACTCTTTTAAAATTCAAACTGTTGCGTTGAAATTAAATGTTCATGAAAATGAAACACATTAAACGACTCGTCACTGAGCTTTCATCATCTGATCCTCATCTGTCAGTCATCATCACCATCTTGTGAACTGGAATTCTCAAAAGATCGGCACCATCTTCTGAGTCGAAAAGAGTCGGCACTGAGCTGGTCCTCATCTGTCAATCATCATCACCATCTTCTGAACTGGAATCCTCGAAAGGGTCGTCACTGAGCTGGTCCTCATCTGGCAGTACAAGACCTGAGTGAGACTGAAGAACATCTCGCAGCCTGGAGGTCAGTTGCTCCAGTGGAACCTGTTCTCCTTTTCAGCTACACCACACAATCTGAAGGAATTCTAGACAACCGTTGGGGAGATAGACGTTATCAGATACCAATGTTCAGCAAAATTTCGTATGTTGGTCTTTTCCTGTTGCCGGCGACAGTGAATTCTTTTTCAGCATTAATCAACCAGTTCTGCCACTGTCTTCGCATGGCAGCTTTGAATGGGGTGTTAACTCCGCCAGATACATCCAGAGGTTGCAGGTAGGACGTGGTTTTTGGTGTGATTTGCTTGAATGATTCGACGACGGCATCAGTGTAATGGCTATTTGTGGCTGTCAATAAGCAGAAGGGAGGGTTCAGTTGCAAAGAAGCTGCCTCAATCTCTAAAATCACATTCAATTCAGGTCAACATCGGGGATTGGGTCATTGATCCGCCTTTGGAAACAAAGATCAATATTTTGGGGACTTTGCATTTTGGAACATTCACAAGATGTTTTAAGATCACCATAACTTTGAGATGTGACCATCCATGCTAATGCCCAAGACCACGGTAAATCTGTTCTTATCGGGTCCAGTAGTGAGCCCATCAACGTTCTTCGTTCCCACGAAGTCAAGAGTTGTCTGTCAAGCCATATCAATGTAACATGTAGTTTCTTCCATATTAAAAATTCTACTTTTATCCAGCAGGGTAGTTAATTGCTCAACGCCACGAAGATGGCCATAGCTAAACATTCTTTGGATCTTCATGCTGCGCTTTTCCTGTTGTCCATGGTGAGGTATCTTCCTGGACGAGATGTCATGCCTCGTGCAGAACTTTAGGATCCATGTGTCACTTAATTTCAGTGAAACACTGCTGATCCCCATTATTTCGTCCATACGGCTTAGCCCCTTCTCTCTCAGCGGCAGGTAATTAACGATGTGTTTCTCAGCTCGCAGCGTTTAGAACCAGATCAAGAGGGCTTCTTCAAGCTCAGGTCCATGTGCTTTTCGACCAGGATTGTCCGTCCGTCACTTATTACGTTTGCCGTCACTGTTCACCACCTGCTCCTCTTCACTCAGCCATCATCTGAGATTATTCCTGTCAATGTTCAACTCTCTACCCGCTTTAGTAATGTTATTGTCCAAATCAGTTTGTAGCTTTCTCACAGCTTCCATTTTCGTAAACGGTTTTCTAGATGCCATAGTCTCCTAAAAATGCACGTTAACAACAGGTATAGCACGCACGTGGACCCGTTAACAACCCAATCGTGGAATATAGCTGAAAGATTTACTAATGTCTTCATGATTGCCAGCCAAACCATAATATAGCCGGTAAAGATCAGGGCAGCTGGAATTTCAAGTCCCCCTTGCGGCAAATTAGATCTTGAGGGTTTATTTGTTAATAATTCCACCTGTATTGTAGCGCCTCGGGGAATGAAGAAGTTACACAATTTGCTTTGTTCAATTGGAATATGTCCGACAATAACGTTCTTACACTCAACAGCCACTGCGTATCGATCAAACGCATTTAACTTGTCACATTGGGAGTCTAAAATGTCACCTGTATTTGGAGACCATATGCGTTTTAAATATGTGAAACCCTCTTACAGCACTAACGGCATAATATAGCCCATGGGCTTAAATTCGAAAATCAAACTCCTTGTATTTAAGCCCGTTACGACAGGGTTTAAATACGAGGATTCCCGATAATAACACATGGTATTCGTCTTCATCATCATTATCACAGTAATGATAAAGTCGCCGATCAAGGGGAAGTTTCAGATTACTCCATCGTCCATCTTTCTATCATAAACATGTGTGAACTTAATCTAAACCGGGACAGCGCAAGTCTATATTCAATAATATTACTGACTGACTGACTGAGTTTGGTTTTACGCCGCTTTTAGCAATATGCCAGCAACATCTCTGCGGGGGACACCAGAAATGGGCTTCACACATTGTACCCATGTGGGGATTCGAACCCGGGTCTTCGGCGTGACGAGCCAACGCTTTAACCACTAGGCTACCCCACCGTCCTTAATAATATTAACAACAGTTAGGAATCTTCGAAATACAGAGACTCCTTAATGTAGAGATAACTTCTAGTTTCACTGGAACTGGAGAGGTTTCATTTCACATTTGTATATGAATATCAGTTATTCTTTGGCTAAATACGAAGTGGAGGGGAATTTTATACACTGGGTTTAACAAAGAAAACAACATAATTGTCTGGGCAGTAAGTTGATAAAACAAGGGATTTGACAAAGGGAAAAGAGGTGAAGCCACAGATGTACAAATCAACAGGGTAGTTTAGAGTGCGAAGAACATCGGCTCGACAAAGCTATAAGAAGTACATGAACTCGTGAAGAAAGTGTTCGTAGAACGAAACCTCTTTAAACCCCAGAGTCAACAGAACCATTGCTGCAACTCTGTCACCTTCCTCCAAAAGACCTAAACTAGATTCAGTCCCCATTAAGATTTCCATTCCCTGTAGAATTGGCCCTAGATTTTCGAAGCTCTCTTAGCGTTAAGATAGTCGTAAGTTAATGTTAAGGTATGGCACTTACGACTATCTTAGCGCTAAGAGAACTTCGAAAATCTAGGCCTTGGTCTTCAGTAACCCATGCTTGTCGTAAGAGGCGACTAACATGTCATCGAATCCCAACTGCGTAGATCGATGCTCATGCTGTTGATCACTGGATTGTCTGGTCTAGACTCGATTATTTACAGACCGCCGCCATATAGCTGGAATATTGCTGAGTGCCTCGTTAAACAACCAACCAGCCAACCTACCAACCAACCAACCAGCCAACCCCTTCGTCACCACAATATATTCAAATATATCTGTCCAAAATACGATAATTTAATACTATTAGATTTTCGTCGATGGTCAAAGGGAAATCACTCTGCCTGTACCATGTATTCGACTATGGCTTTTTACCAATATGACAAAACATATTGGGATATTCATATCAGTGTTTGCAGAGTTGCAGGTTCTCGCTGGGTGCGAGGTTAAACGAAAAAAACAAAAAAACAAAGCGTTGCAGGTAACATTGCTGTCTACTTTCAGACCAGAAGAAATGCACTTGTGTACACGTGTTCTGAAGCTCACATAAAATGACACTGGGCATTAGCTTTGTGCGTTGAGTGAATGAGTGAGTTTAGTTTTACGCCGCTTTTAGCAATATTCCGGCAATATCAAGGCTGGGGACACCAGAAATGGGCTTCACACATTGTACCCATGTGGGGAATCGAACCCGGGTCTTCGACGTACATTTTTTCACAGATGCACATATATCCTAAGGATGTGATATCACGTCCAGGCATCTACAACCCTTGCATACGACCAGATTTTTCCACCCCTAGCCTCTGAATTCGATGGAGGAGATATTACGTCCGATTATTTGTACAATGTTTCCATACGAGGGACGTGATGACTCGTCAACTCATACTAAACATAGTTCACAGTTTTCTAGCCGTGTATCCTCGTCCTTCGAGTGCAATTCGTGTACTTTGTGACGGTGCATTATTTAGGATTTACTTGATTATCTCCCCTGGTCAAAACCACGTGCTATCATTCGTGACCAACTCGTGTTATTCCGGGACAAGCCGAAGTTTACGGAAAGGGGCGAGTGGTGACGAAGGCACGTACTATATGATCTTGACATTCGGTGACCACACAGCGTTAAATGGCTGGTCGTGGAAAATCGTATAGGACTGCAAGCCAAGATCTATCTGTCATTTGTGATGATGCGAGTAGCAATATTCTTTGACAGCTGACTGCTCTTATAACTGTTACCACAGGTAACACTCGTTTCATAGTTTTTTGGATGTCATGACCCTATAATTCTAAGTGATGACATAAATCTACTAAATTGTGGTTGTTCTTCCACCGTAGTGTAGTCACTGGATTTAAAGAAATTGTCATAATTATCACACTGCTGTGTAAGTTCAATTATGTTTCTCCTTTTAGAAAAAACTGCATTTCAAATGTTTCTGGGCTGAAGACGACCTAATACTTTCTCTTTAGTCTGGAATATTTTAATAAAAGTGAAAAAAAAGATGTTTTAAAAAAAAATCAGTTCATATGGAGTTATATGTTATGTTCCTCTTGAATGGTCCATGGCAACCGTTGCAACCATGGAGACGTGATATCACGTCCCTCGTATGTAACATTCGTCACCACTCGCCCCTTTCCGTAACGTCTTGTCCCGGAATAACACGAGTTGTCACGAATGTCGTATGTAAGTGTCATGTTGCTAAAAATAGTCTCGTATTGAAGGCTTGTGACCCCTCGGACGTGATATCTCGTCCTTCGAATGGAAATAATTAACCACTAGGATATACCGCCCCGAATTGTGCCTTGACCTGGATTTAATTTATAAATGTTTTCTGTCAAACGTTTAGTTTTTTCTTCGAGGACTGGTTTCAGGTGGTCAAGGGTGTTCAGGTGGTCAAGGGTGTTCACGCTTCAAGAAATTGCTGGAATGACCGTGTGACCAGTGGTACTTCTAGTAGGAACACCCTCGCGCACGCGCACGCGCACTGGCAGACATTTCAAGTCGATTTTGTGTTCGCCCCGAGAGCGAAAGGTCAATGGTTCGATGCACGTAGGAACAGTTACACACCAAATTATTTCTTTTTTCATTTGTTCTTGATAAGGTGTACTTTCTTGGCGGCGTTCTATTTCTGGGAACACTTTCCCCTCCACCTTGAAGTTGATTTCAGGGGAAAAACATCATTTAAAGAAAATCCATATAAAACTATCCAAAGATGGGACCTAATTTTTGCTGAAATAAAATAATTCTCCAGATATTACTGCAGAATAACAAAAGTTCTAGAACCGATACTTTACTGAGAAAGTGTATTCCAAATATAACATATGTTACATGTGACCACTTTCTGAATAAATAAATTTCCACCACAAGGGATACATATTTCAAATCATCTTCTGTGAAGGATCTTTTAAATGGTATTAGTTCCCATTTACTTATTAATTGTTGGGGCGGTGGGGTAGTCTAGTGGTTAAAGCGTTGGCTCGTCACGCCCGAAGACCCGGGTTCGAATCCCCACATGGGCACAATGAGTGAAGCCCATTTCTGGTGTCCCCCGCCGTGATATTGCTGGAATATTGCTAAAAGCGGCGTAAAACCAAACTCAGTCAGTCAGTTATTAATTGTTAAAGGAAATAGAATGAATTGGTCATTTTTTATGTTATTTTATATATAGGTAGAATTTGAGAATGAGAGATTGTTTGTGGCAATACCCTAGATATTCTACCGCCTCCGTGGTGTAGTGGTTAGAGCGTCCACCCGGAGAGCGGAAGGTCGCGGGTTCGATCCCCGACCGCGTCATACCAAAAAGACGTTAAAATATGGTACTTGTTGGTTCCTGCCTGGCGCTTGGCATTAAGGGGTACAACAAGGACTGGTCGGCTCGGAGTCAGTATAATGTGTCTGAGTGGGGTATTCATGCTTCACTGCGGCATGGTATCTCAGTGGGCTAGCACTATAAAACCAGCTTAAGCCTGGGCTAGTACAAGCAGCCGCACATACACATACACTTGCATGCACGTCGTCATATGAGCGAAATATTCTCAAGCACGACGTAAAACTCAATTTCACCTCACCTCACCTAGATATTCTATTACCGTTTGAAATCGCAGTATATTTGTATATGTTAGATATATGGCTGACATTACGTACAATCACTAGCAGCTGAAGGGATGGTATGAATCCTGCCAGGGAACCGTGTAGGAAGCAGAAGAGTTGTAAGTCCCCACGGTCCTAGTATGGTGGTCCTTCGATTGCGAGTGATCTGTAGCTCCTATTCAAACAGTGTTCGTCAATTCATAGTTTCCAATTTTTTACATGCTCCCTAACTAAAATATGTGATAACCTGGTTGTTATAATGTCCTTCAAATACAGTTTTTTTTATAAAGTATTCTTATATTTATTCTTAATTTATGAATTTCTGTCGCCAGGATATGGATGAAATATTGCCGTTGTGAGGTAAAATTTTAACTCACTCACTCACTCACTTTCTAAGTGGCATTGTTAATTCATAGCTTTCGGTCGTGGGAGCCGTGCTAATTTACATTCATCAGAGGGGTACACAAAGTCCGCAGTCTAGACTACCGTTTGTCCGACTTCCATTTTTGTGGAAGCTGCGACGGCTGAGTGGGTTAGATGGCTAACTTGTGTGCTGGCGATTAGGTGCCTGACTCTGAGGGTGTGGGTTCGAATCCAGGTTGGGACTCAACCTAGCAAAAGTACTAGAACCCAAACCCGTCACATGTCCCCTTATCCCTCCTGTGTATTGTCTTGAAACAATTTCAAAGCGAACAAAACACTCATGAAAAGTAACGACTAAGCTAATTAGAGACTAATATTGAGAGAGTGTACGCATGCGCAATGTGAGAGGCTCTTGAAGAGGTGAGGCAGTAATATACTCTTAAAAACTTCATATACTCGGGGATCTTCATTTTAATTTACGATTGAAATAATTGGGAGATATATCGGAGTCAATCAATGTTGATATGATAATAAAGAATGTTTTAAACATATTTTTTCGAAAATGAAATTGATTGGGCACAAGTTATCCAACTTTGGAACGCCCTCTCCCAGAAGTTACATATGTCATATTTACAATATAGAAATCCTTGACAACAGGGATTTGTGAAATGAATTTACAAGGTCTTTAAAGAGGATATATACAGGAATAAAACTACAAACATAAAGAATGTTTGAGAGTGCATCACCGCTTCCACTTCCTTATGACCATAGTTGTTTGTATGACGTGAAATTTGCATGTGTGCGATTTTCATTTTCAAACAAAAATAAAAAGCGGCTAGAAATGGTGTTTGTCTTTGAAAGGTTTGTTAACGCTTCTACTTCCTATCTATATTGAAAGTTCAGGTTACCCTGCTTTTTTAAAGAGTATGTATATGGGGTTCTGGACAGTGGACACCAGCTAGACACCCACTAAACACTCACTAGACACCTGCTACACACCAACTAGACACCTTCTGGACACCTGCTAAACACCCAGCAGACACATGTTGGACACAAAGTAGACACCAAGTTCACACCTGCTGGATCCCCACGAGACACCCAGAAAGCTCCGGTTAGACAACCAGTGAACACCCAGTAAACACCAGCTGGATACCCACTAGACGCCAAATAGGCACCTGTTGGACACCCAGAAAACACCAGCTGGGCACCCAGTAGAACCTGACACGTAGTGGACACCCAGTTGACACCAGCTGGACACCCAGTGGACACCCAGCAGGTAACTGCTGGACACCCAGTAGATACCCATTTGGCACCAGAAGGCACCAGCTGGATACCACTAGACGCCCAACAGGCACCTGCTGGACATCCAGTAGACACCCAGAAAACAGCAACTGGACACCCAGTAGATACCCATTTGGCACCAGAAGGCACCAGCTGGATACCACTAGACGCCCAACAGGCACCTGCTGGACATCCAGTAGACACCAAGAAAACACCAGCTGGACACCCAGTAGACACCTGACACGTAGTGGACACCCAGTAGACACCAGCTGGACACCCAGTGGACATCCAGCAGGTAACTGCTGGACACCTAGCAGATACCCAGTGGGCACCAGAAGGCACCAGCTGGATACCACTAGACACCCAACAGGCACCTGCTAGACATCCAGTAGACACCCAGAAAACACCAGTTGGACACCACTAGACACCCAGATAACACTAACCAGAACCTGCTGGACACCCACTAGACACCAAGTTCACACCTGTTGGACACCAACTAGACACCCAGCGAACACCTGCTCGACACTCACTAGACATTCACTCACCTGCTGGACACCCACTAGACACCAAGTTCACACCTAGTTAACACCAACTAGACACTCAGAAGACACCTGATGGACACCAACTAGACACCCAGCGGACACCTGCTCCACACTCACTAGACACTCGGGATATCTGCTGGACACCTAGCGAACACCAACTAGACACTCAGTAAAGACCTGCTGGACACTTACTACACACCCAGTGGACACTCAGAAGGCACTTGCTTGACACCTAGTGAACACCAACTAGACACTCAGTAAACACCTGCTGGACACTCACTAGACACCCAGTGGACACCCAGAAGGCACCTGTTGGACACCCACGAGACACCCTGTAGACACCAGACTGTCAGCTACGAACTGGCGATGCTTTGAAACTACGGTTCACATAATTGTGACGCTGGTTGAGAAAATCAGTCTACGTGTAGCGTCCATAAAATGTCCGTGTCCCGTCACAGAATTTTAACCACGGACCGTCTGATCTGAAGTCGGACGCCTTGTCCACATGGATATAACAACGTCTAATAGCCGACATGGTAAGGGGGCCATGTGTGGGATGACACCACGCCGTACTACTCCTAAACTCAGGTTGGTAATTTCCCGTGTAATGTGCAGCTTCCCCCGTTTATGGGCATGTCTTGTTTTGTGAAATATGATTGTAAATACAAATTCTGCTTGTGTGGAAGCTTTGGCGTTGAAGCGTTAAAATCATTTAAAAATTGATTGTGGAACTGATATCCTTGTTCTTGTGCATTCTTGCTCTGGATGTGATGCCATTTTGTCGCATTCAAAAGTATCCATATCATAGAGCCTCACAGGTCAAAGGCCCGTGAAGATTCGGGTAAGAATTGATCTTCAGTAACTCAGGCTTGTCGTAAGAGGCGACTAACGGGATCGGGTGGTCAGGCTCGCTGATTTGGTTGACTCGTGTCTATCCCAATTGCGTAGATCGATGCATATGCTGTTAATCACTGGATTGTTTGCTCCAGACTCGATTACTTGCAGACCGCCGCCATATAGCTGGAATACTGCTGGGTCTGGCGTAAAACTAAACTCACTCACTCACTCAAGGTCCAATGTTACGATCACCCACACATGACTTAACTATTAATCTTGCCAATACGAGTAGTAAGGCCTTTCGTTGACACCGTGCAAGTTCAGTCTCTGTTGATGGAGCACTCCGATTCTTACATATCCATGTGACTTGATACAGTATTTAAGCGGTTAATGCTTGAAAATATGGATTTGACTACCAAATTGAGAGACAAACAGCTACTATGAAAATGTATATTAAGAGACATAGGCTTTATAAATTATATCAGTTCTCCTCTCTCTGTGGTCATTCTTTTTCCCAGGAAAAACAAAATGTCTGAATTTTTAGGGGAAAATCGTATTTTTTCATACATTTTACCAAGTTTAAAACATAATCATGCTGGACCCCAAAACATTACATATCAAAATGTGGGAAATTGAATACTGAACATATTTCACCCATATTTATATGACTTATGATCATAGTTTTAGCTGTAGCATAGTTTTTGCAGACAGATGGTCGGGTTCATTTTAAAAAATGGCCGCCAAAAACGCATTTAGCTGGGCATGGGAGGTGTCCATCACGTGATTCCATAAACTACATACCTTAAGCTGTATGAAATTCATAGTGGCTGTTTGTCCCTCAATTTTGTAGTCAAATCTCATCTGGCACTTTGAGTTGAGTTGAGTTGGGTTTTACGTCACATCGGCATTATTCCAGCCATAAAGTGACGACATCAAGTCTGAATTCATACACATTTTAAATACAAAGTCCAAAAGATTTTAAATTTCTTTAAAAACAACAGTATACATTCATTACATTATTACATTTACCAACGAGCGAAGAACCATCGTAGCTCTAATTTGTTAGAAAAGAACTAAATAACATTACAGCTCTCCGAAATATTGTTCTTTGCACATATTTTTCAATTCCCGTTGGTCTCAAAATTTTTAATTGTGTAATTTGAATTTGTTAATGTAAAACGTCGACTCTTGAGTGCAATTAGTTTCCTTCATCTGCAGAAATAGATTCCGTTGGGAATAAAAACAAAATAGCAGTAAAAATAATATTAACGGACCGCTGAACATCAGCACCATTATCCAGCACCAAACATGCCACAATGGAATATCTGCTTTTTATTCCGCTCGCGAAAGACCCGTGCTTCATCGAAGTTCGTGATATTGACATAATGAACCACAAATAATAATACTGCATTTCTATGGCGCTATTTCAATAGATAAGCATGCTAAAGGCGCTCAATCTGATTATTATTTCCCCAGACAACCCAAGCTGCCTGTGAGGCACTAGAAGGTTAATAGTCACATGACTTATCCCATCGGGTACCCATTTTCTGCTGGGTGAACAGAGGCAATTTTGAATAAACTCACTTGCCTAAAGGTGAGACTGCATATGTCACATGTGCTTCGTTGAGCTGCAGGACTGAAGTCCTAGAACCTCTCAGGAGTCAAGCTGCCAAAAACGGTCACCCATCCAAAGCCACACACACACACACACAAACACACACCCCACACACACCCCTTTGCCCAACTTCATCTGATTGTGACCTGAGCTCACGCCACCTTAACATAGCTGTGCAATAATTCCACCTCTGTAGCCACAACAATTATAAATTTCACGAGCCCAAGGGTATCAAATACCATGTGCTTCGTTGTGGGGAATGACTGGAGTCCTAGAGACTCTCAGGAGTCAAGCTGCCAGACACGGTCACCCATCCAAGAACTCTCCGCGCCTAACGTTGCCAACTGATTTGTGATCTGAGCTCTATGCACAGGACCACACACCACCAAATGACACTCAGACACATTGTATACATTATTTGTTCTTTTATTTCTGGTGCATCATGCACTGACGAGTAGAAGATCTACGGCTTGCCCATCATTCTTCGCTCCTGCGCGTTTCTGAAAAGTGGCAGGGTATGGTTAAGTGGCTGACCGGTTAGCCTTTAGTTTCAATGTTGGTTTACGCCGCAGTGAGCAATATTCCAGCTACAACACAGGGGGTATGACAGCAATAGAATTATGGACTGATATGGAGACTAAGGATTGTACCTTTTTTAAGGGTAACTTTTTTACCCGCACTCACATTTCATATGGCATTACTGTGACAATTTAGAGGAACGTGTTATACAGACACATCCAGGCAACAATAGCATTGTTATATTAATATGTTTTTGTTTGTGTGCACTCAGCAACATTCCAGAGATATGTTGGCAGAGTGTAAATAATCGAGTTTGTTTTGTTTAAAACGTATTTTATTCACAGAGAAAAGCACTAGGAACAAGTTCTCCAACTTAGAATACCTTATCCTTGGTATGTACAGAGGTAATTTACATTCCCGCAACTAAAGATGACAGATAGTGGACAAGAAAGTAGAGAGATAGAGCTGATACGGAATAATATCAATATGCTATACAAATCATTTTGTCTCATTAATGAAGTGATTGCACTAACTTGAATACAATAATCGAGTCTGGACCAGACATTCCTGTGATGAATAGTATAGGCATCGATCAAATCAACACAGTTGGTCAACCACGTCAGCGAGACTGACCACCAGACGTAGTTAGCCGCCTCTTACGACAAGCATGGGTTGCCGAAGACCAGTTCTAAACCGGATCTTCACGGGTAGATATATTCATCACCGTGACGTTGTCTTGTAACATCTAAGAGGAACATGTCACACACAGCCAGACAACGTCTTATATACTCACGTCAGATTTATGATCAACTTTTGGTAGGTTGCTTCTGAGATCAGCCCATCATCTCGCTTTTCCTTCAGCAAATTAAGTCGATCTGTCGAAGGAAAATACTTGGTACATCTATGCTTCTAAATCTATCCCCACCAATCACACAGATGGAGTTTTGTTGACGTGGGTGAGTGAGTGAGTGTTTGAGTGAGTGACTGAGAGACCGAGGGACAGACTGAGTGAGTGAGTGAGTGAGTGGTTAATCAATGCCTTCTTGACACCTCGATGACACCCTGACACCATCACATGATTTGTGGATTTAAAAAGGTAGACTTATGAAGATATAAATAGAAGAAGGTTATGTAAATTATACAATATTAATGTCTTAGAAATTTAATATCATTTTTTGCTCGTATGTCCATTATATGATAAACTACACAGAAAGTACCTTAAAGAATATTATTATGTCCATCCATCTATAGGAAAATTGTACTCCTTATTAAACTGCAAGAACCATGATATGATTCAAAATGTTGCTATGTTTATATATCATGCTATGAATCTCAGAAAAGAATAATCTCCATCGAGCATCGTCTGAACGTCATAATTGTATGACAACATAATATCAATATCGTATATAAACTTGTTCTATATTGTACTACTGGCCTGTGGCTTTTGAGTATTGAATAAAGATTGACATCTCGACACACAATCAAGCGGGTCAGACATTTACAACTTATATTCATATATGAATAAACTTTTCTAAATTCCAAGTTAAGTCCTGTTGACCTGGGATTCAGTATCATCCAGGTGTCGGACTGTTAAGTCTTGTCTGGGGATGTTACATAAACAATATATCGATATTTTCCCGTGTAGCTGTGTCTTGTCACACTCAATACCACTTACCTTCAAAAGTGGCGTGACGCGGAAGTCGTTGCTTCTCGAAACGCTAAATATGAAAATAAATATGCCATAAATAATATTTCAACTAGTATGTCATACGGTACACATATAAACAAAGACGTGTGTAGATGAGTCATCCGTTGTATCTCCTTTCAGATGAGAACAATACTGTTGCTGTAAACACATTACTTTCCATTCTATTGATTCTCTGAATGGGTTTCATAACGTTAATGCTGTGTCACAGTGTGTCATAGGGAAGAGGAAGGTCGGACAGGTCATGGTGTCCCTATCCTCGTTAGCCGATTAGATTACTTGAGTAAAGAGTTAGGTTGAAAGCCGTTTCGAGTCTTCATGTTATATCACCCGTAGGTCACGGCACTTCGCGAGACATTAGTACTTCCGCTGACAAACAACGTCTCATACCTTTTCGAATGGTCTCATGGTTGCCAGTTGATAGTAAGGAACCGATAATCCTTACAGGAATAATACATTTTCGATCTAACCATCCCCAAATTACCCAACTGTTACGACTGTCAACAGCTGTGACAGCCAAACATGGTTGTACACTTGGTCCGGTCTAGCAATGTCATATTTGGCGGTTGTGCAATTTAGAACCTGGACTGGATCTTGAATATACGCTTGTCTTCGGAAATCTGGTACCGGAAGTTAGCTGGGCCCCGTCACGCATATATATCGCAAGTTGGTGGGCGCAAAGGGAACCGGGAACCAGCTTAGTACGTGTATACTGGACGTATCGAGACTTACAGGCCCTATTATGTCAGTCGTTTTGTGTTTTAACATCATGTATTTTGTTCAAATACTGCATGCTCACCTTCCCAGCCGTGGCCATCATGAACATACAGACCAGGACGCCGACACACAGATAGACACGGAGACTGGCCATTTTGTCTGAAGCCAGGCACAGAGAAAAACAGTTGAGATAAACAGTTGAAGGTAAACACTTGATGGAACGGTCGAATACACAATTGAAGGGGTGAACGATGGAGGTTAACTAATGGGATAACAATAGAGGATAACCAACTGGTAACGATGGAGGTTAACTAATGGGATAACAAGAGGATAACCAACTGGTAACGATGGAGGTTAACTAATGGGATAACAAGAGGATAACCAACTGGTAACGATGGAGGTTAACTAATGGGATAACAAGAGGATAACCAACTGGTAACGATGGAGGTTAACTAATGGGATAACAAGAGGATAACCAACTGGTAACGATGGAGGTTTACTAATGGGATAACAATAGAGGATAACCAACTGGTAACAATGGAGGTTGACCAATAGGTTAACAACTGTTGTTAAACAAGTGGTTAACAATGAAGGTTAATTAATGGGTTAACAGCAGAGGTTAGCCAAGTGGTAACAATGAAGGTTAATTACTGGGATAACGATAGAGGATAACCACTTACTGATAATAATGAAGTACCAATGTTGTTAAAAATGTAGGTTATCCAAGGTTAACAATGATGGCTAACAATGGAGCTTGCCCTGAGGTAGAAACTGAAGTAAATAATATAAACTAGCCCTTTGTAACTTTGGCCTTTCACGTGATTATTTTTCTAGTGAAACAAATGGCATTATAAAGTGAATGGACTTTTACAAGATTGCGACTTGTAAGACTTCGCAGCACACATGAAGGATCGTTCACTCATGTACAGGACACAAGAACCAACAGACAATCAATTGCTATGCATACAACACACACAGAGTTCAGTACAAAACGTTCACACAAGATTGGTACAAGAACCAACAGGCAGTCAGTTGCTATGAGTTCAACACACACAGTACAGTACAAAACGTTCACACAAGATTGGCACAAGAACTAACAGGCAGTCAGTTGCTATGAGTACAACACACACACACACACACACACACACACACACACATAGAGTACAGTACAAAACGTTCACACAAGATTGGTAAAATAACCAAGAGGCAGTCAGCTGCTATACGTACAACACACACACAGAACAGTACAAAACGTTCACACAAGATTGGCACAAGAACTAACAGGCAGGCAGCTGCTATACATACAACACACACAGTACAGTACAAAACGTTCACACAAGATTGGCACAAGAACTAACAGGCAGGCAGCTGCTATACATACAACACACCTTCAAGAACGTCACATACATACTGGACACAAGAACGAACAGGAAGTCAGGTACTTACGTGGGATGGAGATCAAGTTGTGTCCAGATGTGGACGTATGATGCTTTATACTAGTCACATGACAACACCTTGCAGCTTCATCAACCAACTTTTGATTAGAATCAAAATGTCTAATCAAATACCCCAGCATGATCGGTTAACCTAATTTAATGAAAATTAAGAAATGTGAATTAGTATATCATCCATTCAAATTCACCATTTGCTGCAAATGAAACGTTGATGTACAACATATTGTGTTACACCTGGCTCTAAATGAGTCTTGAAACCTGTTCACAATATTTCGGGCTAAAGTGAGTGAGTGAGTTTAGTTTTACGCCGCAATATTCCAGCTATATGGCGGCGGTCTGTAAATAATCGAGTCTGGACCAGACAATCCAGTGATCAACAGCATGAGCATCGATCTACGCAATTGGGAACCGATGACATGTGTCAACCAGGTTAGTGAGTCTGACCACCCGATCCCGTTAGTCGTTTCTTACGACAAGCATGGGTTACTGAAGGTTATTCTAACCCGGACCTTCACGGGACTTTCGGGCTAAAGAAAGTATACAATCGAAAACTGGATTTGACTAAAAGATACCTCAAGACTCTTCTAGACTGAAGTCAAATGGCAGTAGAAACATTACAAACTTGAGGACCAAGCCATAACCTGGAGACCCGTTTCAAACACACCACTACAGATTAGCTATATTAAGTTTATTTCAGTATCTAATATGGGGGTCAACTCCACTCACTATTAAAGGAGGATAATGAAATTCAGGAACATCAGAGTATTAAGAAAACAGTGTGCGAGCAGCAACGGTAATGATAATAGAAGGATGGAGAATTGTTTATTAAACAATGTGGTTGTGGTCGTATTATGCAATCATTTGAAGTTAAGCAACGTTTTCACGGAGAGTCCTTGGGTGGGTGACCGTTTGATGCAGATTGGCGAGTGAGAGTTTCTTGGACTTCAGTCCTGCCCCACAATGAAGCGCACATGATACATGTGGTTTCACCATAGTGAAGTGAGTTTGTTCAAACTTGCATCTGTTCATCCAGCAGTGAATGGGTACCCGGTAGGGTAACTCATATGACTATTATCTTTCAAGCGCCCTACAGGCAGCTTGGGTTATCTGGGGTAATGTGTTAGTGCCTTGAGCATGCACAAGTGTGTGGACAGGGGCACTTCATAGATAGCCATGATCATTTTTTTATATTATTGAACAATTCAACAAATGAACAGGTCTTGTAAGGGAGTCTAGGCTGGTACGATTTAACCGGATGTCTGCGTGGGTTGTGGAAGCCAGGCATTTGTGTACGAAACAAAACTCGGAACCTTTAGACGTAGTGTTTTACATTACCTTGATTTGTATATTCAACAACATGTGGTGAATATGTCCCTTCTGATTTCTACAATGTGTATACGTGTGCCATCTGTACGTGTGCCAGGTACAACAGATATGTGAGATATCTGATATATGTGCGATATCTGATATATGTGCGATATCTGATATATGTGAGATATCTGATATATGTGAGATATCGATATATGTGAGATATCTGATATATGTAAGATATCCGATATATGAGAGATATCCGATATATGTGAGATATCTGATATATGTAAGATATCCGATATATGAGAGATATCCGATATATGTGCGATATCTGATATATGTAAGATATCCGATATATGAGAGATATCCGATATATGTGCGATATCTGATATATGTAAGATATCCGATATATGAGAGATATCCGATATATGTGAGATATCTGATATATGTAAGATATCCGATATATGAGAGATATCCGATATATGTGAGATATCTGATATATGTAAGATATCCGATATATGAGAGATATCCGATATATGTGAGATATCCGATATATGTAAGATACCCGATATATGAGAGATATCCGATATATGAGATATCCGATATATGTAAGATATCCGATAAATGTAAGATATCCAATATATGTAAGATATCCGATAATAATTGTGTAATAACACCGCGTGTTGCCGGAACTATTTCCACTCGGTCACATTACCAAATTAACGTCATCAAAACAAAATGTCGGCTGTCATTTACAACACATCTCAAAGTGTTCTTTGCTCGGTTGCGTGCAATAGCATTTATCTAAAACAATAATATGTTGGTTGAAGTCATTTTGTACCTTTTCCATACCCCCTTGTTTATTTTTTATAAAAATAAAAAATAAATAGGCTCATGTTGCCTATCATAAATGAAATGTATTCATACGCGTGACCCCTGATATGAAGGCATAATGTACTCGTTCTGTAAGGGGAATTCTCAAATACTGTTGTGTTAATGTTGGGTGAGTAATCAATGAAATCCTAAACGATGTCCCGTGTAATACCATATTGACGTAACTCGTGAATAGTATTGGTATCTAAATCGCATTCGCTCGTTAGATGCCAAACTATTCGCGCGTTTCATAAATATGGTATTATACGGAACATCGTTTCGTATTCTCTATATACATGATATCTAATGCAATTTAGCGGCTTGTTAGACATACAGCTTACAGGAAAACTCGTATTTTGTAGATTACTACTATATCCACTCCTGTTCACTTTTATTAACATATAAATATACTATCCAAAAAAAAGAAACGCATAGGCGATTTGTATTTTTATAATCTATTTATTACCTGTTGTGTTCAAACAATCGTCAAAATATGCAACTCAAGTGTTGATAACATGATTTTACACAATGGCACAAGTGAAAAATCGAATTTACCTGAAAATGTTGATTTTGATGAGAAAGGGAGCCATTTCCAGTTGAAATCAAATTTCTTACAAGGATTAAAAATACTTTCGGAAATTGGCATTCGTTTTGAAGGAGTTTCAAGGTCAAATCACTACGCCACGTCTTGACGCTGCGACAGGAAAACTCGTATTTTGTAGATTACTACTATATCCACTCTGTACACTTTATTTACATATAAATATATATACGTGTGTGTTTATCTATTTGTACAAGTTAAAAATTAACGAGTGAGGGAGTTACATCGCAATTCATATTCAATATATTGTTCATATTCAGTATAATGTTCATATTCAGTATATTGTTCATATTCAGTATATTGTTCATATTCAGTATATTGTTCATATTCAGTATATTATTCATATTCAGTATATTATTCATATTCAGATTATTGTTCATATTCAGATTATTTGTCGGCACTAGCTGCTTCACCTTGGACATTCTTTTTTGTTGATACTATGACGATCTTTGAAACGCATGAGCCCGCCTCAATCAACGATTCGAATCAGTGTCCCCTCAATGTCAAACTTTAATTGTTTCTTCTCTAATTAACCTACACGCCCTGTGATAAATATTCAATAAACAATGAATTAACTAGCAGCCAGCCCAATGTTTTGACAAGCGGTAGACATCGTGTTTTGATACCTCGCCGACAACAGACCTTGGGTTTTGATATAGGATTGATCAAAGGTCAATGCAGAGAGCACTGTTGAGGAGCGGTAAACATCAGACATCTTGCCTACGACAGCCTTGTTGTTCGGATATACGAGGCAAATTTGTACATTTTTTTGCTGTTTTGTTACCAAAATTGACCGTTCGGATACGGAAACCGAACATTCGGATATATGAGGTAAATTGCAACTCGAACATTTCATTTTTGTGAAGAATGTTCGGAAACAGAGGTATTCGGATATCTGAAGTTCGGATAAACGAGGTCTGACTGTATATGATAAATGTCAACAAACGGCAATAATACGGTAAGTAGTATCACAGTATTTAACGTGAAGCAAACCTGATAACTGATAAAATGTATATAAAACACACGTAGATGTAACATATGTTTAGTCCTATCGAATAAAGCCACGCTATAGGTTACCAATAACCAAAGTAGGAACCTTCTGGGAATCAATGCCTTTATTTCCTACATGATTCCCAGAACAGGACAAGGTTAAAAAGTGGGATCACTATCTGAAAAGGCTAACTTCAATAGTAATTGCAACATAATCAGTGTGACAAATTACAGTTATTTGAAAAACTGCATCGTTACGTTTCTCTTTAAAAGTATTAACATAAAGTGTTTAATTTTTTTTAAATCCACTGAACATGTTTTATCTCGAAAACACATAACATCCTAACAATAATGTGTATGTTTTCTGGTGATGAAAGTATGTCAAGTCAAATAATACCAAGAAGCAGTCATGAATAATAAGTTTCCTTTGTGGGGTATCTGAGAGAGAGTGAGTTTAGTTTTACGCCGCTCTCAACAATATTACAGCTATATGGCGGCGGTCTGTAAATAATCGAATCTGGACCAGAGAATCCAGTGATCAACTACATGAGCATTGATCTACGTAATTGGGGTACGATGACATGTGTCAACCAAGTCAACGAGCCTGACCACCCGATTCTGTTTGTGGCATCTAATTAATACAAGCATGGGTTACTGAAGATCAGTTCTAACCCGGATCTTCACGGGTGGCATCTAAGATGTAAGTGTGTCATATGTTCAGTCAGAATCTAAAAGTTCTACATCTTCAGTCAACGCCTCATTTCACAAATGTGGAAGTATAACTTAGGACGGGTCCTTTTGGCAATGACTTTAACATGCTTACTAATCTGTGTAGATCGAGAGATCTAACAAATCAGCGTTTGATGTAAAATCGACATAACTGATAGTTCGACACATCCGAAAGATCGATATGTAATATATTCGGTAGGCCTACAATTTCGGATATCGGATAGATTCGGAAATCGGATATATTCCACAGATAGATGTATCCGTTAAATCGACAGTGACGATAGGTTACGCATCCGAAAGGTCGACAGGTCGACAAGATCGACAAGTTCGACACGTCCTATTTACTCTCTCGTTTGGGCTGTATAGAGGGACGAAAGAGCCCTTAGCTGATGATAAGCCTAACCAAACTCACTGTCAGTATCATCCAAACCCGTTTATTTATTTTTAACCTGTAAAATAATAAATAACAATAAATAGCCATAAATGAGAAGATTCAGACACGACTGATCGCAAACTGGATAACACTGGATACATGCTGGATAACACGTTCGACATTGACGGTTCGAACCAATCAAATGATTTACTGATGTTTCTGAAACTAATTATCGATCAGGATGGCGAAACGTGGATTTAATGTTTCCTATTTAAAATAGGAATTAAATTAGTGTCATCTGACTGGCCAGTGTGAATTTTCGTTAAATCTTTTAGAACCGCGTTCAATACGGTACTATTGAAGACGACAGTGCATGTTGGTGGGTGATATGTAGTGAAATAGATTTCTAAATTAGCTTACCGTGGTAGCGGAACTAAATCAATAAACATTACCGACGCCCGGTTGTGTCTCAATAGAAAAGCAACGTGACATGTGTCTAGTTAAATTACCTTGTGATATACAGTTATTGTGGAGTGAGTGAGTTTGGTTTTAAACAGCTTTTTAACAATATTCCAGCAATATCAAGGCGGGGGACACCAGAAATGGACTTCACACATTGTACCCATATGGGGGATCGAACCGGGCCTTCGGCGTGACAAGCGAACGCTTTAACCAATTGGCTACCCGCCTCCCCTGGTTATTGTGGAAATCACAATACTGGTATTTTCAATTCATGTCAAAATATATTTCGACAGGCAGATTGCTTATAAGGTCAGTCACTGGATGGTCTAGTCGATTATTTACAGTGACAGCCTTCATATAACTGGAATATTGCTGATTTGTAACAACAACAAACAAACAAACAATAAACAAAGGAAAGATATGAACTCACAGAGGATGATACCACATAAAAAAAATTAACAGGTCACCGTGTAGAGTTTACATGGTAGATATCTTAACATGGATATTGTGATTCCAGCATTTTCACGGAAGTATTTCTCAAATCCGAATTGTCGACTTTTAAAGTACAAATAAAGAATGATTTGAAAACCGTTATGTATAAAGTTTGTTTTTTTTCATTTATCGCAAATCCTAGCATTTATGAACACATCATCCACAGAAGGCGGCAGCGCGTCAGATTCTTGGTTCTTGTTTCCCATTATTTGTTTTTTGTTTGTTTGTTGTTTAATGCCACACTCAGCATTATTCACGCTATATGGCAGCGGTCTGTAAAACATCGAGTCTGGATCAGAAAATCCAGTGATCAATATCATGAGCATCGATATACGAAACTGGGATACGATGACATATGTCAACCAAGTCAGCGAGTCTGACCACCCGATCCCGTTCGTCGCCTGTTACAAGCATGGGTTACTGAAGACCAATTCTAACCCGGATCTTCACGGGTTCAAATATCGGAATACGTTCTTGTGAGGCTGTGTGCTTGTGATTGGCACACTAAGCACAGTGGCGCTGATAGTACATGCATCCGCTCCACGCAGCCCATTTCGAGTCCGCAACTTCGGTTTTAACAACTTCCGAAAGGTAACACGCGCCGTTCCAGAGCTCGAAGGTCCTACAGGTGAAGGACGTGACTGCCAGGCAGTAATTTCTACAGGCGCTGTAGGTGTTGACGCTGTAGACCGCGTTGTTGTAGCCAGTGACGCAGTAGGTCGTGGATTGGTGGCTGAACTCAGTGCCGTAGATGTCGCATCCTGAAACAGAAATTCATTATATTGAGTGAGTTAAGTTTTACGGCGCTTTTAATAAAATACTCACACCCATGGTCATAATTTCAACAAAGACAATGACGTCGTAACATGACGTCATCGATCTGACACGTCGTGTTATGGCAGCCTTTTCTGTCCTTGTGTTTCTGATCAGCCAAAGTGAATCTTGCTTCACGTAGGCCATTCAGACGCCTGTTACATTACGCACACCTGAATTCATCATCTATTATCGAAATAAATAACAAATGGTCTTTGTCACTACGGGGGCGGCGGGATAGCCTAGTGGTTAAAGCGTTCGCTCGTCACGCCGAAGACCCGGGTTCGATTTCCACAATGTGTGAAGGCAACTTCTGTGCCCCCCCTTCCCCCGCCTTGATATTGCTGGAATATTGCTAAAAGCGGCGTAAAACTCACTTTGTCACTACGCATACTACGAACTAAAATCAGTGGTTCCTTTCCTAACTGTAGTTTTATGTATATTAATTTAAGAAAATTATTGTTTTTGTTAAATGTTTTCATATTTCTTAAGGAACTGTCTTGGTCATAGAACATATATTTATGTCGTTTTACCGATAGAAGATGAAAATAATACCTAGTGAGTTAGTCACAAAGATTTTACGAATTATTTGTCTCGTTTTGTAGAATATAATCAAGTTATCAAAATATATTGATGACACGATATGAAAATGTGAAGTTTATTACCACAAGGATTGTAAAAAATAAGTATACGTGGCATGTACCAAAATGATGTGCCATTTTCCCATAAAAAAGAGCTTTCTTGGCATCTTTTAAATAAGAAAAATAAAACGAAGTCCAATATTGAAAATATTTTCGGGTGTTTTGAAATATTCTTTTTGATCTACGTTAAATTGATACCAGAGAGGTTCGCGTGTTTTTACTGATGATACAAGCTCGGAGGTTAACCCGGTTTCATCAGCGGTTTGAAATCGTTCACATTTGATGAGTGTATCAAAACTGACCTTAAGGTATTATAATATTATACTTTGAAGTTTACTGACAACATCGCAAGAATGATTTCTTACTCTGAAGTTCTCTGTTTTCGTCAACGAACATTGCAATAGCGTTATTTTATCGGTATTTGTCGGCTCTCAGTCAGATCCTCTTTCCATACTCAATTACGCAAAGAAAAATAGTTCCTTCAATTTATACCGCACTGGCTGAATTCTTTGCAGCATCAACATAATTCTCTGAACACACAGACAAATATCATGGGATCCATTCCCTCATATATAAAGGTAACAACACAAAAAACAAAGAACAACAAAACCAAAAGACCAGTTCTAACCCGGATCTTCACGGGTCAGGTCCTTTACGAGTCGAGTCAGATGGAATTACTTCACATATTTTCGACAATATTTTGGCCTATATTACACATATTAGGGCATATACACTCATTTTAGCTTCCTTTTGATGCAAGAAAAGACTTATTATCCCTTACGACATGCCTGAAACCGATAATTGAAACTTCGAGGCGAACAGCTTCCAAACAGAGAACACTTGCCAAATATGGAATGTAAACAATTGCTCCGGTGTTGTCGGTGTGTTCCGAAGTTGCGCGTTTGTTTAGGACTGAGTTCTGTCTCCAAAGGAGTTATAGGATATTCGTAAAGAGCGCTCAATGGGACACAACTCTATGGGGTTTGCTTGAAATAATGTTCGGACGGTAGAGGGCGTAAGAGTCGATTTAATGCAAGGTTGCATTAATTCATTCGAACTTTCTAAATTTATATTGTAATCTAAATACGCAATTGTTTTCGGAATATATTATATAGTAGCCTTACTCACGGCTGATAGTATTATTTGAGAGAAATGCATTATTTATTTTTAGAGAAGTGTGGTGTGAAATAGTGCCTTTTAAGTGCATAGCTATTGGAAATACAAGGCTCATAGCAAATTGGGGACATGACTGTTTTGTCAGAATTGCGGACTGGATAACCGCAAACCTTTTCAGCGTTCTACGTGTGTTGTGCGTTGTCGGGCTATGTTATGCTAGGACTTTTGGATTTCTCTTTGTGTGCCATTTACTACTTTGATCCTAATATTGATAACAACAGGGAATACGAATGAGAAAAAATGAAGTACAAAATAGAATTGATTTTGGACACCATGAGTTCGGTGAAACGCCGGAAAGTAGTTCCGGCGAATGTTCACCTCGTGTTCACATACTGTTCACCTTGTGTTCACATACTGTTCACCTCGTGTTCACAGAATGTTCACTTCATGTGCACCGTCTCATAACAGGTGGACCGCCTCCGTGGTGTAGTGGTTAGAGCGTCCGCCCGGAGAGCGGAAGGTCGCGGGTTCGATCCCCGACCGCGTCATACCAAAAGACGTTCAAATATGGTACGTGTTGGTCCCTGTCATGCGCTCGGCATTAATGGGTACAACAAGGACTGGTCGGCTCGGAGTCAGTATAATGTGTCTGAGTGGGGTATTTCTGCTTCACTGCGGCATGGTATCTCAGTGGACTAGCACTCTAAAACCAGCTTCAGTCTGGGCTAGTACAAGCAGCCGCACATACACATACACACGCATGCACGTCGTCATATGAGCGAAATATTCTCAAGCACGACGTTAAACCCAATTTCACCTCACCTCACCTCACCTCATAACAGGTGAGTGAACTCAGAATATCAGATCAGGTGATTACAAATTCAGCCAGTCAGAATGAAAGGAGCGGTATTAACTTAAGAGTATAAAAGTATATATTTTGAGTTAAGTAGATTTCTGGGTAAATCGATAAATCATTAAGTCGAATAATCTGCTGGCCTCCAGGCCCGCTCTCTCCATACAAAGGATACTGCATGTGTCTGTTATTCAATTCGAGAATATCTGTGTATAAGCTGGAATAGCCATTAGGCAATGAAGGTTACATTCTAAAAGGTCCTTTGATGTATAAAAAGAAAGGAGCTTTATTGTTTTGTTAATAAATACAACGTGTTCTGCTGTATGTAGTGCCGTTTCCTGTTATCCAGTTGCATACTGACATGAGTTTCGTATTATGCCATGAGAATATTTCAGAGTTGAATGCTGTCGTTAAGATCAATCATAAAATATTCGAGGGGGTAGGTGTACCTATCTCTCGCTACCTGTGAAGATCCGGGTTAGAACTGGTCGTCAGTAACCCATGCTTGTCGTAAAAGGGTACTAACGGGATCGGGTGGTTACCAACACTATCTACTCTGCCCCTCCCTCCACCTCCACCCCCATCCCCACAGGCATACATGCACACGCGCGCAGCGCACGCACGCACACACAGACACACACACAGCACACACACACACACACACACACACAGAGGCACTCATACACAGACACACACACAGAGACAGACACACACAGGCACACATACACATACACACAGGCACACATACGCAAACACACACAGAGAGACAGACAGACACACAGGCACACATACACATACACATCCACACAGGCACATATAGTGATATACGCAGACACACACAGGGAGACACACACACAGGCACACATATAGATAGAGACACACACAGGCACACATACACAGACACACACAGAGAGAGACACACGCAGGCACACATATAGAGAGAGACTCAACAGGCACACATACACAGACAGAGAGAGAGAGACACACACACAGGCACACATACACAGACACACATACACAGACACACACACAGGCACACATACAGAGAGAGACACACACAGGCACACATATACAGACACACAGAGACAGAAAGAGTCGGGGCCACTATATACCAAAATGAAGAAGCGAACCCGTGTCATCGGCGGACGCTTTAACCATTGGGCTACCCCACTGCCCCTGGTGAGTGTAATAACGACTTATTTGAGAATGACATACGAGTGAGAGGTTAACGAATTTAGGTTTAGGATAAAGAGTAATGATGTTACTGATGACGCAGGTGTTGGAGGTGCTGTTGTAGCTGTAGCCAACGTCACAGTCGCACAGACCGGAGGAGCAGATGAAGTTGTCACGGATACAGTCTGAGGCCTGCGTACATGGTTCCCCTGGAACAGAAGGAGATGCTGGAAGATTAGAGAGAAGATGGAGAGCGCACAAGTGTATTATAATTCACAATTCCATGGTTGCTGGCCATGGGGAGAACGTATGGCTCGTATAAACAATGTTCCTTCCTCGTTGATAATTCTGATTCAAAATATATCTATTTTCGAAATTTCTTTTAAAACATAGAACTGTCAAATTTGTGAAATATCATTCACTGTGGCTTCAATTTCAATTCAGTCTTTAGTTAAATGAGGGATGTTTTGTTTGAAAACGAGCGACTACTTTCTGTCAGTGTCATATATGTCAACGACGAGTTGCCGGCCAAACTCACATACATAATGGGGGTTTTGCCGCAAATTCCTCTGAGAAATTTATTTCTGGCTAATTAAGGTCCCTGATGGGTTAAAAAGTGTTGTTTTTTATCCATGGAGCATCGTTGTTAAACAGAATTTTTTTTTCGTTTTTTTTACTTAATACAACGATGTCCATAAGCATTATTCATATAACACGTAAATAAAGTCAGCTATGGGGGTTGAATGACGTCACCACACTGGGCTAGTTACGAGAAAAAGATCGGTGCCTATGCTGACTGAATTCGTTGACAAATATAGACACATCTATGAGTGAGTGAGTGAGTTTGGTTTTGCGACTCAACCCGGCAATCAACAGAGATCAAGGTTATTACACCCCCACGGCTTCCGATCAACTAATCAAGCCTAATCAAGAATAACCCAGCCTTTGTCTACTGGGTTCAATCATTCCTATCACAACAAGTCTCATGTCAACACACCGTACATCAACCTCTTCTACTGTATAAAACCAATAGCCGCCATGTATATATTTCTCCTTGTGCAAATGTTGTATCATTTGCTTGATAACGGTGTTAGGATCTACACCGAAACGTCGCAACTACTGCTACAAAGAAGTTGTCTATACATAAAAAGTGTTCCCCTTGTTTTAAATCGTTTGTCTTGTAATGAGAATATTTGGTTAGATGACAAATAATGTCCTCCTTCCTGAACATATACATGTATAAATAAATGAATACTTCAACACAACGTCATCCTATTTGTAGCAACAGCTACAACTACATCGGCAGACATCCCCCGTCACCAGAGACCACCTTAGACAAAGTTCGGAATTGTACAACGTCGCGTCCTTTATGGCGTACTATCGATATAGATCATAGCGATCGATCATCATTTAATTAATATCGATCGGTTATAGAAAAATATCGGAGAAGTAACTTGGTTCAAAAATGAATAAAAAATCAGAAAAAAATCAATGCATTTCACATAGGTGATGAATAAAGACATATTAAGGCTTGGATTTCCAACAAAACGTCGTCCTGAACATACTTTAGGAGTGACCCATGAACAAAGACCAAACTTGGTGCATTTTCTGAGTAAATATTGCGTCACAATAGTTTATTTACGTTAGCATCGATTTTACAATTTCATATCGATAAACATTAAGAATGATTCCCAACGACGATATTTCCGATTATCGATCTTTTTAGCCAGCCCTACCGTCCTTATCTGGATGATAATGTCATGCACTGACAGTTTCATATTAGGAATGCAGTAACATCACAGTCTTTCTCTATCTAATCGTTGCAGCGTTCCATAATCCATTTACGAAATGCAAAACATCTTTTCCGTCCTTGATGTCATTGAAAAATTATGTATTTTGCGTGGACACTTGAATTGAACTACATGAAAGCTTCATGTGATTAACGAGTGTTTTAAAAAGTATGCTCATCTATAAATTACGCAGTTTCTTGTTTTTTGAGGTGCCTCGGGAGACATTTTGTCCACAACATACACCTACACGTGTGAAGGCGTTCATATAATGACGATATTGCACAGTATTATGTATGAATGGTTCCTATCCACAAACCTGCGACATTCAATACAATAACAGTTATATCCAGTTGCATATAGTGCTTGTAACAAATTAAGGTACTGGACATCCGATACACAATTCAGATATCAAGCTATTGAATTTACAACATCTGTATTGTTTGTATTTAGAAGATGCGACAGTGTGTGTGTTCATTTATACGGCTTTTGACAGACATGACAAATTACAGTAACTATCGGTTCCGTGATATTGATAATATATTCACGACAGCATACAGTCGTAACAATCTAAGGAACGGATACACTATCGTGTGACCTGTTAACATTTATCACATCAGATGTATCTTCTAACTACAAAAAAAATTTATTGACACAGTTCACTATTTGTTACGAGGGAGGAGTGCAGAGAAAGGGACAGCCAGGTGTTCGAGAACGGATGGAGACGGCACAGCACAGGTTAATGAATAAATAACTTTGTCTGTGAACGTGCTTCTCGAACACCTGGCTGTCCCTTTCTCTGCACTCCTCCCTCGTAACAAACAGTGAACTGTGTCAATATTTTAATGATAGTTTGTTAAACAACTTTATTATTTTTAAGAACAAAAATGCTGCAAAAACCTCACAGAGTGGGTATGATGTTTTGATTATGATCAGCGTTTCATTGAGTATGTTTATGTTTATTAGTTTTCGAGTTAGATTGCAATTCATCGGTCCGCTTTTGAGCCAAACGGACTATACCAGTCACCTTGGGTTGGCAACGTTGAATCAATATTAAACAACTGTTTTCTTTCACATGTATTACTGATGCAAAGCCTATATGACAGATAGAGGTTGATTAGTATGATCGACACGATTCTCAGTGATCATTTTTTTCAATCATGGAACAGTCCAGTTACTACTGATCAAAAGGCCTTTACTCTAAATATTACAAGAAATATTACCTGTTTTTGAAAATTACCTTTATCTTCCAAAATCTCTTATTCCTTACTTAAATTTAGAACTACAAATCATAAACTACCAATTGAAAAAGGTCGATGGACCAATACACCAAAAGAAAATAGAACCTGCAACCTTTGTACTTCATCAGCCATTGCAGAATTTCATTACATGTTTCGCTGTACATCACTTGAAAGTCATAGAAAAAATCTTATACCAATTAAATGTACCAAAAATGCCAGCCTCCACTCTTACAAATTTGTCTTTTCATCCAGTAAAAGAAAGGAACTTAAATCCCTTGCAACATTTAATAATATTATTGCAATACGAGTGTCATAACCTCTCTCTATCATGTTTGTTGTACCCATTATATGTTCTGCCATCTTGCACATCATACTGCATTATTATACCTTGTAATTCACTCTTACACCACCTTTGGTGGTCCTATGGAGAAAAAAGAATCTGACTCTAAGGCGATGTTCATGGATTCATCATATTTTGTTTCAGTTGTGCTATAGTTTCCTCGTTAAAACTTCCTACCTGTTGTCTGAATTGAAGATGTTCCCTTAAGTCACAAAAAACGTCGGACGGCTTTGCTATATAAATATTATGTACTCTACAAAATGATAAACGAAATAGAATAGACAAAGTGGAAATATAATAATAAGAAGAATATTTATAACGCGCATGCCATGACTGACCGAAGCTCAACGCAACAGCGCCATTTTCAGGCTAGATATCCTGATCATTATTACCCCGGATAACAGACATTTTATTAAAGTCTATGGGATATATTTAGGGTTACATTAAAAGTCCTTACATAAATGTGCAAAAAAGTTATGCACCTTTCTTTAAAAATAGGTATGCTAATTATATAAATTCATGATAAAAAGATGATATAAAATATTTTTTGACATTGTGTATCAGCACATTTAGTTAAAAGACTCGACCCACAATCTATATTAACCTGAATCAAAGGATGACACACGCATTGAAATTCGTTAAAACGACAGATCAGCCAAACCGACTGAATTGATGTATTGGTAATCGTTTGTAGATGACGAACTTTGCCTTAAAGCTTAGATCGATACTCTTTTTTTTGCAAACAATGGCTTATAATCAGATTCGATATTTGTATTACATTTCAAATTGATTTTTTTTCCGTTGCGAAACAGACTTTATAAAGTAATTAGAAAATACAGGTAAAAAAACATACTGATGACTGAACCTACGGATGGGCGCTGGGGTAGCTTAGTGGTTAAAGCGCCCGCTCTTCACGCTAAATACATGAGTTTGATTCCCTTCATAGGCACGATGTGTGAAGTCCATTTCTGGTGATATTGCTGGAATATTGTTCAACGAAGCGTAAACCATGCACACTAACACACTCCCTGAACCTGCGCATCTGTGCACTCAGTAACACCAGGGGTAAAGGGTTCCTCGTAGGTTGGTTGATCGTTTGAAGCCGACGGAACTGTGTCGAGTGCGCTCTTTTTAACAAGTTTATAATTACAAAGAGCGTCATACCACTCTTGCTTAGAAGTTGTTTGATCAAGATGAAGGCCTCGGCTTAGCTTTCAAGAGTGAGTGAGTGAGTGAGTGAGTGAGTAGTCGGAGTGAGTGAGTGAGTGAGTGAGTGAGTGAGTGAGTGAGTGAGTGAGTGAGTGAGTGAGTGAGTGAGTGAATGAGTGAGTGAGTGAGTGAGTGAGTATTGATCAACGCCGCATCAGTAATTTTGCAGCTATTCGCTGCGATCCCCGCTAGGACTGATCGTCCCTGATGTGCCAAGTGTGTTTGATATGCCCAGCTTCTTTCAACTTTCTTTCGGTGGTGTGGTCATTCGAAAACAGGTTTTCTGCATACCCGCAAGATATGTTTACTTTTATAATACACTTTTGACTCTCGTTATTCATTATGACGTCAATGTGAAACGTGTATGTGGAAAATAGGTAATATCTCAATTAAACATTGCGCTAAGTTTACAAAGTGAAAACAATTTTAACTCTTGGTGACACTGTGACAGACATTGAGTGATCGAGTGTGTAAATAATCGAGTGTGGACCAGACAATCCAGTGATCAACAGCATGAGCATGGATCTACGCATTTGGGAATCGATGGCATGTGTCAACCAAGTCAGCGAGCCTGACCACCCGATCCCGTTAGTCCCTTCTTACGTTAAGCATGGGTTACTGAAGATCAATTC